TGGATGACGCAATTTTTGTTTGGTAAAGTCACAGATGTTAAGACTAGGGTTAATAAATTAGATAATTTTCCAACATATCGTGTCTTCTAAGTTTCATCTTAAGCGGTAAAACTTTATATAGTTAGCTTGGACTTAATTTTATCCAACTATAGCCTAGAATTGAGCGTAGAAGTCTTCAACTTGAAGATAACAAGAATATATGCTCATTAAATTTTGGCTACGGAGCCCAATCAACCTTATTTCATTGATGTATACCAAGATGCCACCCAACCTTATTTCTTCTTGTTTTATTTGTTTGGGTTGAGAAATTCATGTCTTTATCTTCCCCCCCCCCCCCCCAAAAAAAAAAAAAAAGGTGAAGGCATATACCAAGGAATTTTAGACTAAGCATATATGCATATATGCTGTGCAGAAAGATTATATAAAGGGATATAAACCGAGTAGATAAATGGATATGATGCAGATGGTGGATTCACAAATAACTACTTGAAAAAAGTCAATCTTCATAGTTCATCTCTAACAATATATCCTCAATCTCTTGGTATTTGCAAATCCTCATCCAAACATAGGGTCAAAAAGCATCCAGTGGATCAACGTCAACTAACTGTGGAAAAATTGTCTCTGCAGAAGGAGCAACCCAACACAAGGAGTTTATCGTGTCAGAATATTCTGTCTCAGTTCTTGGAGGATTAAGCGCCATGAGCCGAAGGGACTTTATGAGACCAGGCAATGGCGAAGAGAAGGTGTGTCTGAATTCATCTGGAAAGATTACAACCTACACCAAATTCACAATCAACAAATTAGAAATCCAAAAAGTGGAATTTTTCAACATATAACTGCACAACGTAGACTGATGAAAGCAAAAAGGGATACGTACGTACCTTAAAATTGCAAGCAATGAGGGTCACATTTTCTGAGCAAGAAAACTCCTTAAGCAAATCTGCCAGTGTAGGGAAATATTTCCATGGCCCGTTGAAAGCGTTGAGTAAATCTTCGTCCCAAAATTCGTTCAGTGAGATGGTGGTCTCCCTTAAGCTTGGAGCTATCAAAGAAACTTTGGACTTTAAATAACCAGAGAAATCAAAAGAAACTAGATTTGGAGCAGTGATTGTGGCTTTCAAACTATCATGACA